AAAAAAAAAAAAAAAAACAGAAAGAAAAAAAAGTAATAAAAAAAAAAAACGAATAAAAAAAAATAAGCCCTCTTTCCCGCATGCGATAAATCTCGAAAGACAGAAATGATAAATCCGCCTCTAGCTTCTAGAATTGTTGTCGGTTACGAAAGAGGAGACACGGCTCCATAAAAATCCAAGCCTCGAATCCTCACCTCGTAAGGGCATCAATCTTACCTGGCAACGGTGTCGTGGCATCCTTCTCCTTCTAGGAACTCTACGTAAACCGTGTGCGCCGGTATGGGTCCCGGCATTGTTGCAGGACGTGTGCTTCAAATGGCAGCAGGACGAATTTCCGGAAAAGCTCGTAGCAGCCGGCTTTGAGGACGCGTTCAAACAGCCGCCGCCGCTCGATCGCGTCTGACTGCCTCTCTGATCCGGCGACACAGTCAATTTCACCTTAATCGTCTTACTGCCGCACGGAGGTACCTGAATAGAAGCGCCCAGGGTATCGTAAATGGTAGTAACCAGGCCGGCTATGTCGTCTTTTGTTATCTTCCCGTGGCCGTCGAAGTCGTACAGGGTGAACGAGAATTCTTGCCGTCTTCGGTCGCCCTCCGCTACCGAAACGTCGCATTCGAATTCCTGCAATGGCACCAAGTATTATATTACAATTTATCAAGTTGGATAGGGAGCAAAATAATGTTTGAAATCAATATTATGTCGGAGAATATAGTCTATCGTTTAGAAATTTGTTAAATTTATTTAAAATATTCGAATTCACAGTTTGAGAAATGATATTTATTAAATTTATTAATTTGAATAATTTTTTATATTTTAGGTAGAAATAAATGGTGAAATATTTATACGTATGCCAAGTTCATCCAATATCCACGCATTTATTCGATTTAAGGAAATTCTCTGAAGTTTAAAAACAAATGGGAAAATAATAAAAAAAACATAGAATTTGCTCGTTTCACTTTGTTCTGTTCCTGTTTTAACAAGCAAGGGAGTTAATAATACCTCGAAACTGAGTTGCTTCGTTGTACTAGCGCTCGGCTGCTCGTCATTTCCGGTGGCCGGCGTAGGACTAGTAGAAGCGTCAACCGCGACCTGCGGTGCTTCTGTTTCTAACAAAATTGGCTGGGATTCCGGTGGTGAACCACTACGAGGCGCGGAAACACCGCCAAGAAGTTCTTCCGAGTCACTGCCTTCGGTATTACCAACCACTGTAATCATTGTTGAGCAACAATAAATGAAGAGTTTCATTTACAATTTAACTCAAATTACGTTTTCACTACTTCAAAGTAAATTATAGTACAATCAAAAATTCTGTGAGTAAAATATATAAATTGTGTAAGTAAATTATATGAATATCTATAAAATTAATCTTTAAAAGCTATCATGAAATATTTTAATTAAATATGTTGTTTTGACATATTTTTTATTTTATGATAATTTTAAGAGTTAAGCAAGAGATCTAATATATAAATACAATTTTATCTAGTGATATAAAATTGTAGTTAGTGATCCATTAAATAAATTCCTGTCCATTGAATCCATTTAATAAAAAATATTAATGAATTTATATCATATGAATTTTCTATTTTCTATTATATCTTAAATTTTATTATTTATTAGTGAAAATACAAAGGGCATAGAAATAAAAGAAATCAGGATTATATAGAAATGAATAAATAAGTAAGGAAATAACATGATCTATTTTATAATTACTCGTTATATTTCTGGTTATAGAGTTTTTTGTTCCACGTGCATGAAGTTCTCATCAAAGGAAATGAAATTGTTATCTACGGTCGAGCGACGGCATCGCTCGTAAACAAAAGTCAGAATCTCAAAGGTATCAAAGTAACATCCTCCATGGGTAAAGCCTATATTTATAGTCAGTTTCTGAGTGCCACTCGGTACTTAAAGTTACGGAGTGTAGGAAGTATTTTCGGACTATTTTGAAGGGGATGTATAACTTTGAATCACCAGAAATAAATACAACAGATATCACGAAAACGATCTTACGATCACGTTTCCCGTTTACTAACTTAAAAAAAAAAAAAGAAAAAGGTGAGATTGTTCTTTTCGTGCTCGACTCGCGATTTAAAGAAGAAGCAAAAAATTAAAGAAGAAAAAAAAACGACTGAAAAGATCGCTGAAAAGATTTTAATCTCGAGTAAAAAACAGGGAAAAATGTAAATCGACGGAAGCGTGTCTAGAAATTGATGGATGCGAGCACGTTTAAACGCGTAAATTACAGATCAAAGAGTTTGCTGTTTCATAATTACAAAGCGACCGGATTCCGTGCATAAAAGCGCAATTATCTTTAATGCATTCGCTCTATTGCTCGGCCGAAAATTATTTGCGCGGTGCAGCAACCGGGCGAGCAAGCGAGCAAATTAACGAAAGTTCCACCGAAAGGGACGGGCACACATCCATTTCCAGCGTTTATTTCAGAAACGTTTTGCACACTCGCCGAAGGAAGTGTAATGTATCTTTAATGTGTCTGCATTACGCCGCCGTTTACCGTTACCTAGACGCCTGTGTAAAAGCATTCTACGAAATGAAACGTTGAAAAGATACCTTTACGCAACTGCCGTGTATAAATGAACATCTATAGAGCACGACACGCCACAACATAGAGCAATATTTTTTTTCTTTTTTTAAAATATGCAAAATAAATGTTTTTGGCGACAACAGAAAATAGTGTATCGTTTAAAATGGTTAAGAAAAATTTTTTTTGAATGGTTGAGTTGATATATAAGATATGTGTATTATATATTCAGTAAAAGAATATTATTATTGAATATATGTTTTTTTTTGTGATAAATACGAAATACGTTCACATATTTAATGAAAATGCATAGAACTTAATTTGAAGATTATTTGATTGTTAAATATTTTATGATAAAATTCTAATGATAAAATCAATATAAAAAACAGAAAATGAACAATAAATTCGAAACAATCATTTTGCCACCCATAAGAAGAAAGAAAAGGAGAATTTTAAGTAAAGATTTTATCTAATGGACCTTGCCACACACATAGAGTCACTATTGAAAGGCTTTCCTGTATCTAGGAATTTAGGAATAAATATATCGAGAGATAGAAAAATAAATATTGAGAAAAAGAAAATTCATAATTTTACATTCATCGTTTCAATTATTTGAATATTTTAAAATTGTATATTGCATATTTGAATTTTTCAATATTTTTGTGAAAATATTATTATTATACAAAAATGCAAATAATAATAACAATAAATAAATAAAAATATTTATTTATTCTTATATATTTATATAAAGATATATCTCTAAATTCGATCTTCGACATGATTATAAAAAAAAATATTTCAATGAAATATATTTCAATTAAAATGCATCAACATTACATAATATTTTATCATTGTTTAATTCATAATTACCTCAAATTCTATGTTTAATGTCTTCGATTCGATAAAATAAGTCAGAAAAATATTTTCATAAAACCAGTTCCAATTAAAATGCAAAAATTACATATAATATATCTAAACGTTAGAATTATTTAAACTACGCGATCGAATCGGATTTTGTTTCAAGTTAGCCGAGCAATCGACTAAAATATTACGGGAATGTTCAATAATCGGGGTTCGATAAAACGAGTTTCCGCGCCGATTCGAGTTCCGAGTAGTCGGGGAATGTTTCGAGTGCTTTAGCCACTGGTTACACGTTTCCCTTCTACGATCGTCGGCCGTGTCTTCGGTCTCGAGAAGACTCCGCTTTTATCTTAATTCACGCGATACATCATTAAGCCGGTGCAGCGTGATTCCAGTAAAATATATACTTAAAAACATCGGCATCAAAGAAGCCGCAGAGCAACGATAATTAGCGATACGAAACGCGTAATAAACGAAGCCGGCCGCTAATTTCAATTACTCAAGAACAACGAGGGGAAAAGAGATGAAAAGGGGAGTACAAGACAAGAAAATGCTTGTACACGCGCGCAGAAAGGAGAAGAAAAATAAAAAAAAAAAAAATAAAAAAATAAAAAGAAGATCGAACATGGAACAGAGATCAAATATTAAAAAGAAAAAAAAATTAGAGAAAAAAAAAAACAGAAGAAAAAGCTGGATAATCGTATCTGCATAAAGAAACGGATGCATATACGCGTATAATGATACCTGCCGTGTGGTAATTACGCCCGTAACTCTTTCGTGGGGCGAGCGTTAAAGACCCAAGACACTGAGCGCACTGGGGAAAAAAGGGAGTCAAACAGAAGAGAGTGAGAGAGAAGGAAAAAGACATAAGAGCACAGCAGAAAGAAAAGGAAAGAACGACGGAAGAATAAAGAGAAACAAAAACTGTGAGTAACAGGACGGTAAGGGGAGGGCTAAAAAGAGAGAATAGAGAGAATCTTTGCTATTACATTAAAGAAATAGAGAATAGCCACGGACACCTTTTATCTAACCACCAGACTAATGCATGTAACGAACTCGCAAGGTCTCGATAATTAAACTCCACCCTTGACGCGCGACCCTTCTCTACGTACAAATAGTATACATAAATAGTATACGTGTGTCCGCGAGCACACACGCGTGTGTTTATGCCGTGTGTACCGTACCGCTTTTGCGCCCTCTTGAATGAAAAGCAACGGGGGAGCGGGACACAAACGGCTTCTGCTTTCTTCTTTGTAAATCACCCCTTTCTGTTTGCTAGGCTCGTAACTTTTATCATTTGCCGACGCAACAGCTTTCCCTCCCCCTACAGTCCCTCTCAACTCGTATGAAAATTTTGCCCTACGACGCACGAGAAAACAGCCATAAAGAGGAGTGCCGTAAGAGAACTTGAGATCGGACGAGCTTCAAAAGCGAAATCCGCTGCTCCGATAGAAGAGCCCTGAAAATTGTTGAATGATTTTCGACCAGTTCCTTATTGCTAACGATGTATAAAAATACTGTGTTCTTTCTCTTTTTTATATTTCTTTTTTTTTTCCTCTTCCTTTTCTCTTTTCGAACTTTTTGCATATTTTCTAATAAACAAATAAAGTAAATGAATTTATGAAATATATAGGATTGAATTCAAACATTAGAATGGAATAAAATTTTGTTGATTACAATAAAATATCAAGGATAATTTTTTCATTTTTATTGAATAAAATGTTGAAATATTTATCATTGCCTTGATATAGTTTTAATATGAAATTTTTATCAACTTTTTATTATTTGTTGAATATATTACAAAATATATTATAAAATATTTTATAAATTAGAAAAATCTTAAATTTTAAAGGATACATTTCTAAAATTTACATACAATTTCGATTGATTAATTAAAATTTTTCAAATTCTGAAACATGATTAATTAGAAATATTTTATATAGTAAATATATTAAATTTTGTTTACACAATTAAAATATTTTCATTGAAATTATTAAAAAATTATCAATTTTTTTTAAATTCTTGATCATTATCTTTAAAATATTTTTAAAAAAAAAATATTAAAATATTAAAATAATTGATGAATAATTTATATAAAAATAATAAATAATAAATATTGTTTTCATTTATTATATATTTTGCTATTTATTTATAAAATAGCTATATTATTATTTATTACTTATTTATTTACATATTAAATGTTTTTTAGTTTAAAAATGAAAAATAGTTTAAAAATAGTTGAAAAATGTTACCATATAATGATAAAGTAGTAATTTGCTAGTGCCGTCCTCAGTATAAACTACTCAAATATTTATCTTCATGTAAAACATTTATGAAAATCAAAATGTGAAAAATAAATTAATATTAATCTAGAATAAATATTATTCAATTATGTTTATATTTTTCTAATTAATAAACAATAAAAACTATAAAATTTTTCAATTTACTTTTATTATGATACTTTATGAATGATTACCTATATATTCATGATAACATTTTTTCAAAGTATGCAGTCGTATGAATATTATATAAGCAGAATAAAATATCTCCAATGATAAATTTATTCGAAATGATGTTAATCATTTATACAAAAATAAATAAAAATATATGTTACTTTATTGCATAAAAAAATATTAAAAATTATTAAATATATATTTAAATTTCACTTCTATTTTTCTATTTATTCTATATTATTTAAGAAATAGAAAAGAGAAAATGAAGATTAAATAACAAAAAAATGTTGAACAGAATATAATTATAGATCAAAGGTAAGAAAAATGCAAGTATGACGTAACACCACGTGGGATCCACTTCTGTCATACTGCAGTAGCATCATCGAGAAACACATATCGCGCGCCTTGCAAGTCGGGCAAAATATCATGCCTATAACCGGATTGACCGGACAAATCCCTATACGGTATATCTTGATCTATCTATGCATCGTGATTTTAACGAACATCGATATCTCGCGCGTGAACATGATAAAAATAAGAGAAGAAAAATCGGATGAATAAAAACAAATAGATAAAATAAATAGAAAAAAATAAAAGAAAAAGACAATATAGGAACTTACCAGAAAAGGGTCTATAACCAGCGAGGAACCTTGCTCGCCACCACTTTACGAATCCGGTAGCCATGAGACCCTCATGCATCCACAAACGCTGCGCACACTTTCCTTCCAGGCTTCTTGTTTCGCCACTTTGTTTTTATTTTTGTTTCCAAACTCGTCAAGTATTAAATTCTTCCTGTTTCTTTGTGTTCCAACAACAACCGTATGTCACACCAAGAATATGAGTCGCATTCGATGATATAAACACGATATTTTCACCTGACAATCATACGTCGTTCTCTTCTTATGTTTAATTTTCTGTACACTATTAGAAATCGAAAAATAAACACACTTCCGCGAAATTCATATTTTCCTGATAATGTCTTATCCGACATCTGCTAACGATACGACAATCGATGTGTACGACACGCACAATTAAGAACACGTGTTTTTGAGGGTTGTGTTATGTTTAAAACTGAGAATGATCCAGTTAGCGCCCAATCTCTTCTTGTTTTTCTATGTTTTGTTTATCATACTTTTGATGCAAAGATGAAATCGTTTGTACTTGCATACTGTTTTTTTTTGTCACTTAACTTAATTGCATATACAATCGTACAATTACGAAACGAATAACAGTCAGAATTTAATCCAGGTAAAAGCGTCGAAAGAGAAAGAAACACGGTCGCAACAAGAGAGGTCGGTCACACGACATCGCTCGACTCGTGGCCTGACTACGACTACGGACGATCGTTCGTGCCTAAACCACGTTCCCCGTAATTCCCTTTCCCCTTCCATAGGGCGCTGCGTCGTCAACAGTGCCGAGCCGTGGATACATGGGCCCTGAAGGTAGGAGGCGCGGCTCGAAACCTCCGATTCACGCTCTTTCTATCTATCTTTCTTGTACCTTCTTCCCGTTGCCACTTTTTCATCGGTTTCTCTCTGTTCTTCCTTGAAATCCATCTTCTTTTCATTTTCTTCCTCTTCTAACTATAGTGACCATCTTTCTTACTCTCTTTCTTTCTTTATTCCATATTTCTATTTCTCTCTTTCTTTCTATTTCTTCCTTTTCTACATTTTCTATCCTATTTTCTATATTTTCTCTATCTTCCTTGTCTATCTACCTTCTCTTTTGCTCTTTCATTTTTTTTATCTTCATACTCATTTTATCATACGGGTATACTTTCCTTTTCTCCTGCTCTTCTCTCTTTTTTATCCAGCGAAGGTCTATGAGAGCGGTGAAGAAGGATAGCTTTATACGGCTGGTGGGGTTTTGAAGGAAGCCGATGATGGTTCAACGTGGTCTACGACGACACTAAATGTCGACGCCGCGACGTCGAACGGCATGTAAAAAGGGAAACCGGAGCCTCCTGAGGATTTCGATTATTGCGGCCACAAACAAATCTTTTCGAATTTTTATTTCAATCGTGTGCGAACATTATCCGGATTTAAAAAAAGTCACTTTTGAAGAATTTGGGAAAATAATGTTTCTATCTAGAAGGATCAGATGTTTAATCATTCCAAATCATCTATATCAAACCGTCACAGCATCGCTGGAATCTCGTAATTCGTCGGAATGACGCACGACCGACTACTGTACCTTCCGTCGCGGCAAACTTCAGCCAATGAATAATGGTTTAGGGTCGTCTTTGTTTTTTATTTGGTTCGCGCTTTAATCTTCCGTCCACCAAAGATAATGATAATTATTCTTAATATTTCGACGCTCCTTTGTGGAATATTTATCCATAAGATTAAGAGATATCTTAAATTTGATGTCGTTTTCATTAATAATCTAATAAAAATATTTAATCTAGTATTTATTCATTGAAAAATAAATTATGACAATTAGACAAAATTATATTGAATAAATGAAATTACAATTTGAATAATTTTATGTTATTTTTCATAAATTTCAACTACTTATTTAATGCATAGAAAAACATTTGATATGATGCACTCGTTCAATGTAATTTCAAAAAACTAAAATAAATGCCATTTACTAAATATTTTATTATTTGTTTTTCAATTATTCAAGGTTAAAGTACATAAATATAATAGTGTAGTGAGATAAATGAGAAATACTCTTTTTGGAGACTGTACCCGCACGCTATTATCTCCTAGCGGTGTTTCAGAAGAAACATAGGCGTCACCTTTGACAATCTGATGAATGAACTTTATCGAAAAACACTTTGTCATATATATATAAAAACTCGTTTCTTATTCAAGGAATATTGCTATCAGACTATTATTTTATATATTAAATAACATTATATATTAAATAACATTCTTATTCTTTACAAATCACTAATTTGAAAAAAAAAATCATTACTCAATATACGCAATAATTTAAATTTTTATTAAAATTAAAATAAATCAATAAATTGAATAATATGAAATATCAAAAATTTTGTCATTTATTTTATATCATTAATAAATTTTCATGCTATATTAATCAAAATAATGATATGTACAAATAATAAAAAAAAACAAAATATAGAATACAATAATTATAAACAATTAGAAATTGCAAAAGAAAATTAAAACATGTTCCCTAAGTATCCGCGCCATTGGCATGGCAAGTACCCCTTGCTCTCCCTGTACGGAAAGTCTCTACCCACCATGCCACGCTATGCCGTGCTGTGCTGCGCTGTGCTACGGTTTGCCGTGCCATCCTCAACCGCGTAGCGTGGCTAGTTGTTTCTTTTCTTTATTCCTTTGTCGGAAAGTCGGTGGCGAGTCTCGTTTTTAAGAGAAGAGTAGAGGGGAGGAGGCAAAAGGAA